TTACACAGGGTATCATTGTATTAAGTAGTGCCTGCACATTAGTTATTGCACTAATTGTTGCAGTTATAGTGCCACATTGTAAATTCTGATGGCAGCAGGGATGAATGACCTGCGTTAGCACTCCTTCTTACAAACAGCGTATGTAAGTCTGCTCAGCTCCTCTACAGTCTGGTGCAGGGGGAGAGAGGTGTTTTCATGATGGACGTAAGCTTGGACAATACCCTCCTCTCAGCCACTTCCTCCACCTAGTCCAGAGTAAAGCCCATGCCAGAAGTGGTGTCATGTTTAGGTTTACAGACTCTGAATAAGAGCAATCACGAAGGCAAGAACCAGTTAAAGGTTTTTATTGATGGTTTGAGGCTATACAGAGTGAAGTCCGGCAGTCAGGGTTTTCTTGATTCTGCTGGAAGAGGTTGGGTGACAGGTGAGCAACAGTTCGATGCTGGTTTACAAAGTGAGGGATGTTTTAGACTCACAGAGAGGGGGGCTTGGTGTCTGTCTTGGGAGGATGGTGACCAGTGGTCCAGGCGAATGGTGCAGGTCCAGTGGGTGAGATCTGTTGGTGGAGTCAGAGGGTGGGCAGGCAAGCGAGCTCAGGCAGGAGGGCTTTAATTGTTCAGTGGACGGTAGCCTCACTAGTTCCTTGACGCTGACTAAAACGTCTCCAGAGTCCAGAGCGAAGAGGTCTCTGTGGAGTAGTTTCAGACTTGGGATCCAGGGTTTACGCTGGATCCCAAGATTAACTTCAGGTTCTCCAGAACCTGAAGTTAATCAGGATTTGTCTTCTCTGCTTCTAGGAAGAAACCTGACTGAACCCTGGAACTCTGGAAGAGTTTCCCTGCTGAAATCTGCCTGTCGGGTCTCAGGAGCTCATCTAAAGGATCTACTGTCTAAACCTGCCTGCCCGTCCTCAAGAAGTGGATTGGAAGAAACTCTGGATCAGAAACACTGATAAGTCTGAAGTCGAGTCCTGCCGTTGCTCAGCCCTCAGCCTGCCGTCAGCCTCTGAACCCAACCCTGAAGAACCAAACCTCAGTCCTCTGCCTGCCGTGAGCCTCTGAACGCTCCTGGTTCCCTCCCTCAGCTGCTTAGCCTGAACCACATCACAGAAAACCCTGTTTGACCAGTTCTGGATCTGATCCCCTGCATGAGCCTGAGATATTCGTTGTATCTCAATAAACTGTTGAACTTTATTTCAGTCTGTGTGTGTGTTCTGCATTTGGGTTAGAACCCTGAACCCAATCATGACACATCCATCATGAAAAAACCTCTCACCCCCTGCACCAGACTGTAGAGGAGCTGAGCAGACTTACATACGCTGTTTGTAAGAAGGAGTGCTACCGCAGGTCATTCATCCCTGCTGCTATCAGAATTTAAAATGTGGCACTATAACTGCAACAATTTGTGCAATAACTAATGTGCAGTCACTATTTAATACAATGATACCCTGTGTAATAACCTGTGCAATAATCCTGTTAAATAAGAGACTTCAGCTGTTTTATATATAGATATGTGGGCCCACTGTATATACCCAATGCACGTTTTCCTCCTTTGGGCACCTTCTTTTTACTAATGAGCCCATATCACAAGTGAATTTCTCCACTGTGAAATCATCTTTGTTGGGATCTGGAGGTCTGTCCACCTTTCTCCAGCAGAGGGCGCTCTAGGTCTCCTGGAGCTGAGCTGACGATCACACCTGCAGCTCATTGAGTCATCAGGAGACCAGCATATAAGCAGCGGCAGGACTACACTCCAGCGCCAGAGTGTCAAGCCAGTTATGGAAGAAACCTGACTGAACCCTGGAACTCTGGAAGAGTTTCTCAGCTGAAACCTGCCTGCCTGCTCTCAGAAGCACATCTGAAGAATCAAACTTCTGAACCTGCCTGCCCGCTCTCAAGAAGAGAACTGAAAGAAACTCTGAACCTGAACTCTGACAAGTCCGAAGTCGAGCCCTGTCGCTGCTTAGCCCTCTGCCAACCACCTGCCTCTGGACCCTCCTGGTTCCCCCTCTCTGCTGCTCAGCCTGAACCACGTCACAGGTACAGACGTGCACAATTCCTCTGACAAGATCAACTGCATCCTGGCTAACCAAACTGTCCCTCTCTGCAGATAACCCTGTGTGACCAGTCCCGGATCTGTTTCCCAGCATCAGTGCTTAACTTTGTGTTTTTTTCTTAATAAACAGTCAAACTTTTCATCAGTCTCCGTCATGTTCTGCATGTGGGTTAGGGACCTTAATCCCATCATGACAATCTTATTTTATTTCAATAATACATTTTAAGTAATTATCAAGATTTATTTATGAATCCATGATCATCCCAAAATTTCTAGCCTTTTCAGAGGTCTGTAGGCAAACAGACTGAATCTATGCTATTTTGGTTCAAGAACTAAAACTCCTGTTTTATCTTTATTCAACTGAAGAAAACTTTTTATCCAGTGAAGAGGTTAGAGAAATAATAACTTAAATAGAGGAGAAACCAAGTTCAAATGATAGAACAAATAAAGATTCTGGCTGTGAGAAAAACTAAGAAAAGCTAAGAGTTAGAACTAAAAATGCAAAGAAATAGGCAAGAACAATTAACCGTAAACCAACTGGCATTCACAAAACAAACCGAGTTAATATGGAAAACTCCCAATGATAAAAATACCTGAATATGACACAACCCTAAAGCCGAAGCTGAAACCACACAATGAGTGAACAGGTATAGAAAATGAAATAAAAGAAAGAATAAAAGTAATATGCCAAACAATAAAAAAAAACTGTAAAACAGGAAGTCAGGAAAGTAATTTAATGTCATAGCTATTTATTTCAAACAATCAATAGAAGTAAAAAAAAAAAAAAAAAAAAAAAAAAAAACAGCAAATAAATAATCTGAGAGTAGTCATACAAT